AAGTTTGGACAAAGAATTCAACTTCTCTGGGCCTTCGCTTCCTCATTTACAAAACGAAGGCGATATGAAAAGGGTTGTTGAGAGATAAAATGAGAAGTTATGTGTAAAATTCATAGAAAAGTGTTTGATCCATTGTAAGCACTCGTAAATGTGAGCTGGTTCTTATAATAATACTTGTTATAATATTTGTTGTGTGGACACTATTTTGTTGAATATCCAAGGAGAAAATTGAGGGCCAAGTTCACTTCAAGTAAGGGCTCTAGCCTCTTCCATCTACGCAATCTATACTAGCTGGCACCACGGAGCCTGGAGCTGAGTTTCCTGCCTCCCCGCCCCCCATTCAGGGCTGCTGTGTGGATGCTGAGCTGTGAGCTGCGTCTCTCAGCCATTGCTCACAGAAGCTGTGCTGTGCCCCTGTGGGCATGGTGCCTGCTTGGGGGACTGAAAGCCATTCCTCCTGCCCCCATTCCTCCCACAAGGCACACTGTGCCCGAGGCTGCCAGGAGCCGTGGGAGGGCACACCTCCACAGATCCCGGGTATCGCTCTGCCTTGCACTCCCACACCGCAGCTGGTGGACAGGTGCAAAGGAGAGCACCAAATCTGGATGTGAGCTCCTGCCAGAGGGTGGCCAGAGGAGTCCTTTCACCTCCAGGGCCTCTTCGCATGAGGAATGCTCAGTTCCTGCAGAGCATAGGGCCTGGGATTAGAGCTAATAGAGATAAGAAAAGCAAGAGGAAGACGCGCCACTGGGACTCTGGCAGGGAGCTGGGGCCATGTGCCCTAGAATCCAGAAGGCTATGTCGAGTTGCAGGACTCCTATCAAGGCAAAGGATTGCTCAACTGGCTTTCCTTCTTAAATGCTGAGAGAGACCCTCCCAGCAAAGGCAAATGCAGCCCAGCTTGGGCTTGCTGAGCTGGAGGGACTGTTTTCTTTTGCTCCATGGTGGGGTTACTGAGACCTAGGACTGAGTATTGTAAATATAATGATAATTATCATTATTACTAAAGGCCTGGTACATAAAATTCATGCATGGGGAGGGTGTCCCTCAGCCCATCCTGCACCATCTCACAATCCAGGACCCCTTGGGGGATGTCCAACTGCTAGTTTAACTTCCCTCTCGCAATCTGGGACCGCTGGTTCCTAACCGCTCACCTGCCTGCCTGTCTGATCACCCCTAACTGCCTCTGCCTGCCTGATTGCTCCTAACCACTTGCATGCCTGCCTGATCACCCTAACCACTCTGCCTGCCTGCCTGATCACCCCAACCACTCTGCATGCCTGCCTGATTGCTCCAAACTGCCTCTGCCTTGGCCCCCGCCACCGTGGCTTTGTCAGGAAGGACATCCAGAAGGTCGTTCAGCTGTCCAGAGTAATTAGCATATTATGCTTTTATTATTATAGATTACACTAAAGTATCTAGGGCTTACTGGACACTTAAAATGTGCCAGCTCTTTGTTAACAGTTTTAAATGCATTACCTCAGTCGAGACAATAACTCCAGAAGGCGGATATTAAGCTATTTCACAGATGGCCAATCTGAGGCTCAGAGAAGTTAGGTAACTTGTCCAAGGTTACACAGCTTAGCAAGAATTGGAGCTAGAACATAATTCAGTCTTGGACTGTCTAGCAACAAAACCTGGGAATTTAGCCACTTTATGTTGAGAAGAAGGTATTTGCCAGAGAAGAATGTTACCCTCAGCTCATCCTCCCCACACCCTCCACCTTTCCATACATAGTCATGCATTCTCCCTGTGCCATTTGGGGCCTCACGCCTTTACCACGCTTCTCCAGGATTATAAAATTCCAACAGGCCATCTCTCCTTCTAATACATCCAAGAACTCCTTTCAGGATGAAAGAATAGAAAGCTGCCTTCATTCTGCCTCTTCCACAATATGCTTAGGTAGGAACATGCTAGTGGTCCCAAAGCTGGGACAGTTTCATTCATGATGCTCTTTTAGCCATTAAAGCAGAGCTATAGATACATAGGTACACACATACAGGCATACATATACACATACATGTATACAGGATAGGACAAATGCAGGCTTGATTGTTTGGAAAACAATACAATCATTAAGACATCATAATAATACAAGAATAAATTCTGTGTTTTATGTACTCACAACTGTACACCTCTTTTTGTTACAGCCTGGCAAAATACTTTCTCTACTACCCTATAAAGTCATTTTCTGTTCCATTTTGGAACTAAATTGGTTCATCATTACTTGTGCTTTACCTGAATGAGACCTCAGGCCAGAAAGCACAGCCTGCTCACAGAGAATGTGCCTGTATTCTCTGTGCCCAGCCCTGGGGGACTGGAATCCAAGCCATGGTCTGCCATTCATTCAACCACACCAGCCCCCAACTGCCACAAACCTGCGTAATCCTACTCCTCCAGCAAGCAGAGCAATTAGGCATTTGGAATAATTGTTGTGGCAATGACAGCGACATCCAGACCATTCTCGGTCCTTCAGCAGTCGCCAGCAGGTGAAGTCCAAGCCTTTGCCTTACGGGTGTTGCAACAGCGTCCTGACTTCCCGTTTCAGTATGACTGTCCTTTCAAAGGAACTACACTCCCAACCAGGAGGGAAGAAAATTCACGTACGTGCGAAGTCCCACTGAATGCAATACAGGCAAAACTCGTGTTTTTCAAGTGAATCAGGCTCGGGGAATGCATTTGATCCTCTCGGGATGACATCACAGGTAATTTCATAACCCTGTGATGTGTTTGGAAGCAGACATTTCACGCTCCCAGGGGCAACATCTGAGCTGCTACTGCCTGGGCTTTCAAGCGCTTTCGTGAGCAATGATGCAGGTTTGGAAGGCCAAGTGTTGATCCATTATAGATACACTTTACTGAGTGTGTGCCATTTGGAAACATACATATTATGCTGATCTTTATCATTCTTGGTGCCAGACTCAGACAGATGAAGATACTGACAGCAGACAAGCCCTGAAGTTGGTTGAAAGACAAAATGCCTGTACATGGCCTCCGGAGCCTTTATCGGTTGCACTCAGATGTAACAAACTACGGAGAATAAGGCTAGCTTTGTATCTAAAGGTCACAGAGCCTTTCGAGATCTCGGTAGAAGCCAGGGCTCTCTCCTGTTACCAAAACCACATGTCCACACCTGGTTTTGTGTGTATTTTGTGGGCTCTGGGTTTTCCAAAGACCTTCCATGGACCCCTACAAATCTATGGACATCATGGATCTTTAAGAATTCTCTCTCGACCTCCGGCTGGATTGAAATTTAAAGAAGACTTTAGTGGAGTCTGGGTTGGGAGGCACCTTTACTCCAACCAACAAGAGAAGGCCTGAGAGTTCTATTCTTGCTCTTATGTCACCTTAGTGTTGCCTTGTTCCCCTACAGGGACACCAGGAGGTCCCCGCTGTCCCTCTCCTTCAGCAGCTGAAAGGGGAGCCGTGCATCCAGCAAGATCACCCTGGACCTCTGTTAGGCAACGAAGTGAAGAATTCAGCAGATTTCCTACCATCCTGAACTTCAGCATCTGTCTTCCCACTACCCCTCTTTCTCTATTCCAAAACCAAATGATCCTAAAATAAAGGAAGTATAGCAAAAACAAAACAAAACCAAAAAAAAAAGAGGCCTCACCTCTTATTACAACCGAAGGCTTTTGCAGGTCTTAGGAAAGACAGCAGGACTGTGTCATCTAGGATGACCCTTATGACTTTATTTTCCTGCTTAGCTAAGAGGCCACACAGGTGTTTCAATAGACCACCTGTATCCTCCTCACCCGAGGAGGGGTTAAACTTGAGGTTTCCTGGGATCCTACCCATGATCTTGGAGTCAGGACCTACATTTTTACCAACCACCCTTCACCAACACTTAAGCCCTCTCACGCTAAGAACTTCTGGTCATAGATTCACTTACGTGCCTTCCCTCATTTCCCACAATAAGGAGATACCAGTCTCGAAGGAAACATCCATAAATGCCAGGAAATCCTTGAAAAGTCAGAGACTACGAATTCCATCCGGAGAACTCACGCTCCAATCTGTCTGTGTGATTCTATCACCACCACGTTGTCTGTCAGCTTGAACGAAAGCAGGTCCCAGTGCCCGGGACCACCTCACTGGGGAATTCGGCAGGGCTCAGCTGCTTACGAGGATAAGTCTCTGAAGCCTGTACAAACAAACCAGGCCTCAGAGCACAGCATTTGCAGAGGATTTTTATGATGGTTCCTCCTACAAAGAGAATCTGGTGGCTATCTGCGTCACCCCTTACCTGATCCCACCCTCACCTTAGCCTTTCAAAGGTTACTTAACCACCCTGGATTTGAGGCTTTATACCCAGGAAAATGGGTGTCTGAGCCTTTGAACTTTCAGGGAAGAGAAATGATGATCAAGAAATTCTTGTCATACTACTATAAATATTTATCCATCTCCATATTTACACTGAGAGGCCAGGTTAATATGATCTCTGAACACATAATAATCTGGCCACTCAGTGTATATTCTATATAATAAAAGGCTAATATGCAAACTGTCCCCTCAACCAGGAGTTCGACCAGCAGGCAGGCCGACCAACTGCCCATGTCCCCTCCCCCTGACCAGGCTGGCTGGACCCCACCCATGCACAAATTTATGCGCCAGGCCTCTAAAATATATATACTGAATGGCCAGATTATTATGCATTCAGAGATCATAATTATCTGGCCACTCAGTGTATATGGAGCTGGAAGACACCTTTACTCCAACCAACAAGAGAAGGCCTGAGAGATTCTATTCTTGCTCTCTTACTTATATATCATCTGTATACATATAGTGTCTACTAGATGCTGGGCACTGTGCTGGGTGCTGAGGACAAAACTCAGATGCTACCCTCCCCCGGTGGACTATTCATCAAACACAGCACTTCCAAAACAATGGTAGCTGTCTCCAAAGTCATCTGAGCTCAGTCCCCATCTCCGGTTGGGGACAGAGGGGAGCAAGAGCAGAGAGAGACAGACCACCTTCTCTGGCATTTGGAAATGACCAGCCTTGAAAAGAACTTGAAGTATGTTTAAAAGCAGGACTGATCCTCTTCGCTCCTGCAACCCCATGACCTTGCCTTCCCATGGAAACCTTCCCAAAGGAGGCACAGAGAGGTTACAAAGACGTCAGGTTGGCAGGCAGGGTAAGGCCCCTGAGTTTCACAGAGCAGCCCCAGCCAAAACCAATCGCCACTGGGGCAGAATAAAGTCGTTGGTTGTCTGGGTGGCTGAATGTCTCTCCCGAGACAATGGCGTGTCTATGTGTAGGAGGGCTAGGAGCAGGTTGTTAACATGAAACCCACCGTAAGCAGAGCTGTTAATTCGGGTGCTGGCAGGGGCTTCTGTTAGCTTCGGAATACCTCCCAGAGGGCATAAGCCCTACCTTTTCATTTGAGTTGGCAGCAGAGTTATTTTTTTGCACCTGTTGCTCTGCTCCGATAACAACCAGTTAAGCATTGATTTGTTGGAAAATAAACAGAAAAAAAAAAAAAAGCAAAGAAAGGCATCTGCCCAAACAGCCTGAACTGGTTTCACTGAGCATTCATGCCAATTTATTTTTCCTATAAAAACCAACCCCCCCCCCCCAAAAAAAAACAACAAAAACCAATACATACACAAAACCTTCCATTTTTCATTTGGATGCTACCCACCCAGTCCCTTGGAAGTAAGAGGGATCAAGTAGGCCAGCTAGAGCTGATCGGGTCTAGAGGCCAGAAGACACTGTACTTTTCCATTGGCTGGCTCTGTGGCGGCACTGAGGGGTGTCCAAGATCTGCAGAATGACATGGCCAGCCTCCAGCCAGCCCAGGGTCAAATCATGAATCAGATTAACATGGGCAGAGAAGGGGTTACTGGGATAGGATCAAAACCAAACCACACTCCTCCAAATTGCCGACTTCCGAAAGTCAATACGGTTCTGGGAGTAGGTGTGGTCTGCAGGTTACCTCCTAAAACAGAGACTCAGAATGCCTGAATCTCAGTATGGCCTCTCCCACAGACCTCCTACGTCCAGCCCTGGGCAAACAGTATAATTTGAAAACCTAGTCCCCAGACCATAGCTTTCCCACTGGAGAAATGAGGTTACCCAGACCTACCTCAAAGGCGGGCTGTGCAGACTCACTCATGTCCTGCCAAGCGACTTGTCCCAGGTGGAAAGGACCTAAGCTCAAGGTGTGATTTCTGCATTAATCCAAGCATCATCACACTCTCATTTCTCATCACTCTGTCAATGTCACATGATGAGCTCAAGCCAAAAAGGGCCACAGAGAGCTAAACAAATCTCTCAAATGGAGATCATGACAACACTAATTAAGCAATGGCATCATCACCCAGAGAGCAGAAGAAGCCTCTTAATATCTCTTTTTAAGCTTCGAGAAGAAAGCACTGGGCGTGGGCCATACATGATGTTTCCTAGATGGCCACCTTTCCCAGCTGTCTCTGTGCCCTTGACCTTCATTACCACCAGACCACTGGCTCAGAGGGGGGTCAGGGCAGTGGGAAGGGCCTCAGAAAATGCCTCTTCTCAAGGAGCATTAAGAACAGGGTGTTCCGACAGGGGAGGGATGTGGCTGGCTGAGCATTCCCAAGCATTCTTGTCATGAGCGGGGCAGGGAGTGGAGTGCCTCAGAACCAAACTGGGCAGCCCGAAAAAGAAAAGATTAAACAACACCCTGAGTTGACTGAAAAATAAATAAGATCAACCTTGCAGGAATGCAGAAAGGGTGGAGGGAAGTGAGAGCAGGGGAATGGAGTCAGGGAGGGGCTGGGATGGGACCATGGGACAATGGTCTTGACCATTTTAAGATTCATGTTTCTTCCCAAGAAAAGATGAAGACACTCTATCTAAGGAAAGGTCAACAGCCACTAATTTGGAATCTCAAAGACTGTATAATTAATTACAAAACAACACCTCAAACTATGACAGTGATGACAGTTCCTATTTACTGAGCATTCACGATGCGGCAGGAATTGAGCTACGCTTGACAGGAATGACCTCATTGACTCCTTGCAGTAACCCTGGACATTGGTACTAATATTAATAATTTTATAAATGAGGAGGCACAGAGAGGTTAAGCAACTTGCCCAAAGACACAGAGCTAGTGAATGAACTGGATTTATTATAATAAATACATCGAAGGGGGGAGTGCCACATAATTCTTTGTAGCTTTGAAAATGAATTCTTATATTTCTAAAGGGGGGGGAAGGGATGTCTCTGAGCATTTTATACTTCTATTTTGGAAGTTGAGATTCCTTTAAATACAGGTCCTATCATTTCCCCCTTACATGGGAGGAGGAGGCATGCTAATCATCCTTGTGTCCTGGTATGAAAGCTCCCTCTAGCATACATCAGTGCGGACAAGCATTATTTCACGGCCACTCACACCTGTCCATCAACACTTCAGCCTGGCTTCCTGCTGAAGGCCCCTGGTTGACGCAGGGGTTGGGCTTGACTTATTAGCCATGACGAAAGAGCAGCTATTGTTACTGAAAGATTAAGGGGGGACCAGGGCTCCTTGGGAAAAGCATCTGATGTCTGAGCTGTCACGGGTCCCGATGACAGACCTGCTGTGTTATGGACATCGCAGTGATGAGAGAAAGACTGTGGCTGTGCCATTCTCGGAGCCTGAATAAATAAACCCATCACTCCAACAATCAATCCAGGAGAGGTCTCACCCTCTGCCACCGAGTCCACCACCCTGTCTGAAACCTTGGAGACAGAACCTCACAAGGCTTATTCCATTATCATGGTTGCAGTTTAGGAAGCAAATAATATCTGAGTTTTCTGTCTTTTTTTTTTTTTTTTTTTTTAATCCTCACGTAAGGATATTTTTTCCATTGATTTTTAGGGAGAGTGGAAGAGAGAGGGAAGGACAGAGAGAAACACGGATGTGAGAGCAACACATCAATTGGTTGCCTCCTGCACCAGCCCTGACCAGGGCCCAAGTCGAAGAGGAATCTGCAACCAACGTATGTGCTCTTGATCGGAATCACATCCAGGACCCTTTGGTCAACAGGCTGAAACTCAATCCACTGACCCAAACCGGCAAGGGCAACATCTGAATTTTTTTCACCGATTAGAGGATATCCGATTTAGAAGAATTGGGGTTTTCTTTTTGTACTACATGACAGCAAGAAAGCTCGAGTTTCTTTTTAGTACCTTCACACAGGAAGGATAGACTTGGCTCACTGTGTCCTGTTGTCCCTTCCGGAACACACTTTACTTTGCCTCTCCTAGCTCACTGGTCTATGCAGTAAACTCTCTGGAAAATAAAATTAAAAAACATGCAGAGAGAATACAGTCCATAATATTGTCATAACTACACATGGTGTCAGATGAGTTCTAGACTTATAAGGGGAGGTCACTTTGTAAGGTATATAAATGTCTAACCACTATTTGTATACCTGAAACTAATGCAATATTGTATGCCAACTGTAACTGAAAAATATTTTATTTTATTTTATTTTATTTTATTTTTGACATAAAATTAGTAAAATTTATTAAGTAAATATTGTTTACAAAATGCTTCTTAATATCAGTCTGGCATATATATTCTAAGTGATACTGAAGTCAGTTTGTATTTTCAAAAAAAAATGGACCTAGGAATACTTTCAGTCCTATTTTTAAATTATTTTAAAAGCTGATGGGAGGGTTTGGGGGTAAAGGGGGATCATCCGCAAAGCAAGCAACTGCTCACCAGAAAGGTTTTCCAAGGAATCAAATTCCTTCCAGCTATTCTCACTCTCTTCCAGGGGATTCAGAGGAAGTCTCTGGTGCTCTAACAACATGAGAAGACAAACCAACTCAAAAAAAAAAAAAAATACAGTATCCTGCTGGCCAGGCCTCAGCTTTCCCCCAACGCTCAGCCAGATGGGCCAGAGGAGAAGGAGCAGGGACTGGCTCTCACAGGAGTGTCCAGGCCTCTGGAGTCGCCACCTGTTGGAACAATGTCACCGCATCCAGAAGCAGGCTCAGCTCCGTGCTTCGTAGGGCTCCGTGCCCACAGGAAACGCGGGGCCCCTGGTCACAGTGTACTGCGAATCCCAAGGCAGCAACAACCAGGCACAGGGTCTTTCAAAGGCAGGGGGGGTGGGTGCTGGGTGACGCACAGGTTGCAGATCTGGACACTGATTGGTCCAGGGGCCAGTCCCCACTTTGGCCTTCATCCTCACCAGTGCTCTATCCCCACGGGGGACAGGAGGGAGATCTTTTCTGCCTTTGCCCCATCAATGGCCATTGGAAATTGTGGGGAAAATTAAACTAAATATGACACACACAAAAAGACAAAATAAAAAGATAAACTAAAGAGGACATTGAGCATGCCTATGAAGGCACCTGGCTTACAGCAGGCCCTGCACAAAGTTAGCTATGATCACCATTATTATTATTGCTGTTATTAATAATTATTAATTATTCTCATGATGCCGACGTCCCACCACAACTCCAAAGCTCCCCATGGGCACGAACAATGCTTGGGAAATACAGACTCGTGTTTTGACAGAGACCGCCCATTAGCTGACGCTGTTCAGAAGCCTTTTCGTTAGCCCCGTGCGAGAGAATGCTCTCAATTAGGAGCTCTTCCCCCTTGATTTATAACATAGACCTATGTTTGAAGTCTGATGAGACCTACAGACCCCTCCTCAAAATGGTTTTAAATGACAAAATCCATTATATAAGACTAGAAAGCCAGTGCCTATTGAACTACAATGATCAAAACACTTTTAAAAATAAATTGGGGATATAACAATATATGTACATCTTTATTAAGACAAAAACTAAGATTATGTAGTGCAGGTCTAATAACCTCCATAAAATATAGGAGTGCTGAATGTCACTGTTTGGAGACAATTTGCGATAAGTGTAATGTGACAGGAACATGCCTGTACTGTCTCCGGGTGACAGTCACAGTTACAGTTCATGCTACTGCGGAGTTTTGCCTTCATTCGTATCAAAGGAAATTGTTAAAGTCTCGTTAGCTTGCTGAACATAAAAACTACTTCTTCACCTCCAAGTTCACTAATTCCCTGGGTTCCTCCATGGACAGATACCAAAAGACCCTTGGATCCCAGAT